AAATTTCTTGTTAGCATCCCGTCTCTTCAACCCACGGTCATTTTATGCTACTTCTTTTTTCATGTTTCATGAAGAGTTTCGTTGTTGATAATATTTTTGTCACCGTCCACCACCATGCCGTAACCCCTTCCCCTTCCCGGTCGACGGGAAGTGGTGGCCCCGAGCCAACAGCTCCACCATTCGACGTGCGGCATATGCCCTCCGATTCGTCCGATGGGCATCTGCATTCGAACTTGAAATGCACATCTGCATAGGATCTTTGGCGTACGCACTTTGTAAAACGGACTTTATCCCAGGGGAACATCTGCGTATGACCTTTGCGTACGGCATCCTACATCGGTGTACGGAATGTTTGCATATGTGCATATATATGCGTGCGAACTCTTCCATGTGAAATTTTACGGCGTACGCACGAAAATTTTTGGTCGCGAACATTTCCCGACAAACAAAATTACTTGACGAACTTTCTTTAACCTGTACGATTTTTCTACGCTGGCTGCGAACTTTTCACCCTGCGAACTTAATGCCTACTGTAGGATTGTACTTTCATATTTGGTTGGGTGGGGAGGACTTGAGCCCCCGTAACTTTAAGAACATGGGCCAAATCCTCAGGAGAAATATGTTTATTGGAGTATTTTGTGGAGAGGGTGAGTCTTTTTCACTGATCCCCCCCCCCCTTCCATTCGTTTTGCGAAACTACGTCCCTGACCCCACATACTCTGTATTGGCAAACTTAAAGCATACGTATTTTATCTCCTGCGAGCACCTGCCGTGCAAACGTTTCGATACGTACGGGTTTGTGGGCAAAAGTACGTAAAGAACAAGTACATATGCCAACTTACAATTATTCGCAGAATTAAGTATGTATGCTTAACGTTCGCCAAGATAGGGCACGTAGAGTACGAAGTTGGTAACGGCGAAAGTTCGTGATGGAAGAAGTACGTATTGATGATCGCATTACTTGAGGACTTGAGGTTGAAGCTCATTTGGCAATAGCACGTACGCAGAACGTCTTGCGCAAATGTGCCCTGAACGATGGAATACAGATATGCGTTTTTGATGACAGCTGCCAGATGAATGGTCACTGCGATGGCCACCACATTCCTCTGACCGGTGAAAGGAGGAGCAGTGGATGGTCGTGGACGGTGACAATTACGTAGGTCAGGTCAGGTAATATGACTAACCTAACTCTTCGCAAAATGAAATTTACGCTCTGAGACAACCAGCAAATGAACACGCATCAATTAAGGTTTTGCAACATGATTCTAAAGCATGTTTGCTGCAGATAACCCGCCGAGTTTGTCGTTCTCCTCAGTTATCTCTCACCCTGACAATGCTTCTGTTCATGACTTCGCAGGAAGGTCTTGAGCGCGCCACCCAAGCCAGCTGACGGAAGCTACGAGTCAGCTCGCCAGTGAAAAACGACGAACGGACGCGTCAATGACACCTGCTACACGATTGCTTCTGTGAAGCGAATTTGATTCTATAGAGGATGACGTACCAGCAAGACCCGCTTTGATGCGCCCTTAAGATGATGGTTATATTCACACGCGCTCCGACATTGCCTGAGAGCATCATTTTTAAACCGTACGCCAGCTGGAGTTAAACACAGCTCATTCAAATTTGTACCTGAGCTCATCCCCGGAAACCAAATTTCAGCGCAATTTAAGAACTACCGGTGCTTGATTTAGTATCCTGGTCGCTGATCTATTCTGAAACACTCCCATCAGGAACGTAGTTCATTCTCGGTAACTAGATTTTATCCTCCGGCCCGGCGATCATACGCCTTTACCGCTCACGAACATTTGCGTGCTTATGTTTTAACCGACTTTGTTCGCTCGAACATTTGCGTAAGTTCAGCTGCATGCGAAAAAAGCGTACGTACTTTGTGTATACGAACTTTCTCTATACGAACTTTTGTTCTGACGAACTTACATCGATACGAACAGTTCCCACACGAATTTTACACGATGCGAACGAACATACACATATACATACAACCAAACATTTGTTCACGAACTTTGTCGAAGGAACTTTTGCTTATAAACCTTTTGCCATGCCATTTTTTTTTTTACCGTGCGTACATTTGCTTACAACCGATTGCGTATATATTTCAGGGCTAAGTACACGGGTGCCAAGTTTGGATTGTTTTATGAGTGCCGATGCCCCCCCCCCCCCCCCTCCCCACTGTTGAGTTGTGCCCAGGTGTGAGTGTCTTCGACGCCCTAAGGCGGCCTCTCGGGGGGCGTATTTCCCTTCCGACCAGAACGGGCCTGGGTTCCCATTGCTCCCCTTCCCCTCCCTCTTTGGATCCGGCCCAGCATGACTACTATTGTTGCTTAGATGAAAACTCTTCCAATTAGACCAAATTTCACGTGTAAATAGCCAGGTAGCCAGGTAATTAGCCAGGTAATTTTTCCTTCGTCCTCCCAGACCCTTGCAACCGAGCCGTTGACCATCGGGCCTGGTGAGGGGTTCTTCGGGCCTCCTCGACTCTGGCAGGTTTGGGGCCCCTTGCCAGCGCATGGCCCTTGTTAGGCACTGAAGGGCCTCGACCAATGTAAATCACCGGCTCTGGCGCTGTCCCTCTTTGGGCATCCTGCCATGGAACCGACTGTATGTCACTGAAGGGGTCTAACAGACATACCGGCCCTCATCGCCTGAACTTACATGGGTGCTTCTTGTCTGAACATGGGCTCTTTTCAGACCTCAGACGGGCCGATCTTAAGCTGTAGACGGTGCGTAGGCCGAACAGGGGAGGGGTGCACACATGTCTCCCTTCGGTCCAGGCGGGCCCTTAGGGATCCTCGGTACCGATGATCAAGGGCCCAATAAGCTTGACTAGAGGTGGTTTCAAGGGATCCCGGTCCGCAAATGTCCATCGGAGAGTCTATTGCGCCGATAGGGGCCCCTGGAGACAATGAGAGCCCGCCAGCCGATAAACGACCACAAATTTCGAACAGTCTGCCCTGTGGAGGCCTAGAGCCTTCTGCAAATGCCGGGGGTATTCTGGGGCCCGTAACTGTCAGTCAGAGAACCCTTTGCATTGATCTGTGTTCCTGGGATAATGAAGGACCGCTGTGCGCGTGCATGCGTACGTGCGTGCGTGGGTGCGTTCGTGCGTGTGTGTGTGTGTGTGTGTGTGTGTGTGTGTGTGTGTGTGTGTGTGCGTGCGTGCGTGCGTGCGTGCGTGCGTGCGTGCGTGCGTGCGTGCGTGCGTGCGTGCGTGCGTGTGTGTGTGTGTGTGTGTGTGTGTGTGTGTGTGTGGTGTGTGTGTGTGTGGAAGTGTGTGTGTGTGTGTGTGGAAGTGTGTGGAAGTGTGTGGAAGTGTGTGGAAGTGTGTGGAAGTGTGGAAGTGTGGAAGTGTGTTACACACTGTAGATCTTAAAACAAAGTGGCCAGAATGCACAGATAATTTTTAGAGGGACCCCAAACTCTAGCGGGGCCCACAATGTTGTGTGCCCTTCCCCCTTGACGAAATCCTGGATATGCCCCTGAGATAATGGTGACGACAGATCGGCAGGGTCGAAAAACCGGCGTATAACACAGACACGAGTTTTCCGAAACGGCTCGTCCGACCGCCTTGAAACATTCACCAACCGATGCTGTGCATTGAGATGAGTCATGGGAAGGCAATATTGAGACATGACCCGAGGTCAAATACCTCGGAAACGCGAAGGGACATTTTACATACAAATGCAAACAGCTCAGATCACAGGGCCTACTGGCCGATCACTGCGAAACCTTCACTATTGGAAGCTCCATACCTGATGTCCTCTAGCAGTTCAAAATTTGGTGATCCTAGGTCAGGTCAAAAGTCGTCAAATTTCACAAAGTCAAAAATTATTGCTTGCAGACTTGTTATAGCTCAGAATCTACCACGTGGATACCTGCCAAACCTTACTATTCAGTACGCCATTTACCCTAATTCTCGGTTGAAGCTACAAGTATGGTGCCATTTATAATTATGTCTTTTCCTTTATGTTTGTTTCCAAGAAAAAGTATAGCTTGGTTAGGCTGCCCTTATAAGGTTGGATCTCCCCTTAACGGAAGTGTTAACCGTGGCGATACCATGCACAATTCAGCGCGTCATCTTAAGCACAACAATTCCCTAAGGAGAAATTCTACCTCGTAAGGTCAGTCTAACCAAGCGGCACTTTTTCCCGGGAACAAGAATGATGGAAAGACATGATTATACATGGCACCACACTTGCAGCTTCAGCACAGAACTAAGGCAAATGACATACTGAACTGCAAGGTTTGGCAGCTATCGCCGTGGTGGATTCTGAGCCCTAATTAGTCCGCAAGCAAAAATTTTGGACTTTGAGAAATTTGACTTTTGACTTGACCTAGTGTCACCAAATTCGGAGCTGTTAGAGGGAATCAAATATGATATATCCAATGGTGAAGATTTCACAATGATCGATGAGTAGGTTCTGAGCTAGAGGCTGTCTGTAAGGATTTTTGGACTGTGAATTTGACGACGGACTTTTCGCCTCGCGTTTTCGAGGTGTTTGACCTCAGATCAGCTCTCGATATTGCCTGTCGAGATTTACTTCAACGCACGGATTCGACTGGTGAATTTTTCAAGGCGATCGGACACATTGACCTATAAAAGACTTGTATAGGTCAATAATCAGACAAGCCGTTTCGGATTTCAGAGCACTTACGCGCCTGCTTCATATGCCCGTTTCGCCTGATAAATCGCGGTCCAGGAGTGCGGTATATGCTGGAATGTATCATATGTATGTATGCAATATATATATAGCATATGTATGTATGTATCATATGCATGTATGTAATATATCATGTGCTGGAATAAAAGCGCGAGGTGACTAAGGGTAAGGATTGGTGCAATTGGTATCACAAAATTTCATTAACAGTGATATTTACAAAAATACTTCAAAATATTTGTCAAAATCTATACAGGGCGTGACTTTAGTTTTTTTACGCCGAAATAGCTTTTAGCAAAACTCCGTTTTGTGAATAGTTTTAACAAAAGACAGCTATGGCGTGTTCCTTCCCACCAAGGTTTTAGTGCGCTGCAGTACACGTTTCGTGTCCTCGGGACTTAAAAGGTTGGTAGTACTAACCACCGGTCTCAGAATTGGTTTGAATTTGTTGATAGGTTAAGGAGTTCGCTTCGTCGCTTTTGGCTGCATGCATATGCGTTCGCAACGTTTTTGTGTGCAGGCTGGACCAGCTCTGCCGCGCTTGTACCTTTGCATCAGGTAACAGGGTGTAGATATACATTGGGACCTAATGTTAGAAAAGAGCATTGTACATCATTTGTCGTGTTTAAGGCGGAAAATATCGGAAATAATCATAACAGGTGGATTCATGCTCCTTCCATCGGATTTGAATAACTACGACAGCGATATCCCACGCACCTTACACACTCTGCCGCCTTGAACCCCCTGCGCCGTTGCTGCGTTATCGTGGCGTGGTTATAATATCACTGCTTTTCATGAACCATGGAAATGTACAGGGCCAAGGTAGCAATAATAATGCAATGAATTATGTTTCTTTTGTGAGGAGTGCTGTTCATGAAATAGGCCAGAACAGTCCAGAGCATAGCAATGACTAGCCTGACCTAATCTAATCTAGGTCAGGGTGTATTTTCCTGTCTCATGTTACAAAAGAGCATTGTACATCAATCATTGTTTTTAAGGCAGAACATATAATTAATTGTAAAACAGGTCATCTATACTGTTACCTGGGGACCTAACCAATTACAATACCAAACATCCAACTGCTGCAAACACACAGCAGTTGTGACACTGGCGCCATTACAACATGATGCATTAGTAGGGTAGTTATCTGATATAGCAATATGATTATATTACACAACAATTGGTGAAAATGGTGTTGGGTTGTTTGGGATTTGACAGGGGATGACAAGTATAATAATGGGTAGTTGCAGGAGTGGGGGTATGCTATGCTCCATGAAGGTCAGTCATTTTAGATTGAGTTTTGATGCATTATTGTCATGTTTCAAGCTTACCTGCTCAATTGAGATGCTGCACAGAGTGAAGCACTTTATGTCTATTTCCTTTAAAGACATGTTAAGCTGTTATATTGGCTAGTTGATGGAAAGTTGGCAAAGGTGCACATTGAAAGGCAGAAGCTGGCCTTGATGTGTCAACATGATGCTATGAGTTGAAGATGTTTTTCTGCTGTTATGATCAAGATCCTTGCATTTTATAGTGGGTGGATGTCTGAAATATGAGTGATCAGGATTTGACACATAGCCAAGATTAACATCAGGCTAGGGTGTTATCATGTAATTGGGGCATTGTATAGGTGCTTTGAGATAAAGTTGTTCTGAAAATTGTTGGTTAGTCAAAAGTGTACATTGAACATAATATGGCCTGCCTTGTGTTTGATGCATGCATTACCAAGATCTAATTTGCTGGTGGCACTAGTGTCTTGATGCAGTGGATGAAATTGTATGCAGAATGGCACAGTGGTTTGGGGATTGTCAGATTGTCACCCGCTTGGTTCAAATAGCTCTTTCAAGGGGATTTAGGCTGTTTGTACCTGCTGCAGTGAGGCAGATTTGGGGCAATTGCAAATATGGTGGGTATTTAAGGAGCACTGCCCCAAGTGCAATTGGTATGTAGTTGATAGAACTTCTTAGCTTATACATAACCTTAATTTATAATTATGGTTAGTATGATATTGGTATTTATCATAATATTTATCAATGCTCATGCAGGGCAATTTGAAAATGTTCAAGCCTTGCTGGTATTGGTTATGATTTTGGCATGATTGCTGCAATCTTTAAGAGTCATGGGGAGGGGCACACCATGTGACAGCCTGTTCCATACCATGTCCAGCATTTGTAATTTTTTCCTTTGGATTCTATGGCTTGTTATAGTTTCACAATTATTTACAATTTTCACATTTCTTTTTGGCTATCACAAATTTGAGTTGCCATTGTTGTGACTGTGAGTTTGGCATTTTGCTGGATGGGTGTGCTTTTTGCTTTGAAGGTGAGCATGATTTGTTTTGCCTGGTGAAGTCACATGTTAGCACAGTTGTTACCATAGGCCACAGGCAGTCCTTGTCAGGGGCTAATAATGTAAGCCTATGGCCACCCACTCCAGATACATTGATCGGTATGTTGGTTAATGACTCGTTTGAAATCACTACAGAACCCTTCCAAATGTGTATTGCACCTCGTGCAATGCTGGTCCCAGAGTTATTTGCTGCATTGTGTGCAACATGTTATCCATATTGCTTATTAGTTTATACAGCAACAAATACTCCATTTGTAATTGTTGACATACTGGCATATGGAAGTGAGAAGTCATCAGTCACTCAGCATCCTGGCAATATCTTTCCCAATGAAAGTGTCCTTTCCAGTTTGGTATGTACAATGCTAGTTTTTCACTTTTCCCATTCCAAATTCCATTTTAGCCCTCATGGCTTTGTATTCTAGTTGACTCCAATCCTGGTTAAGTCTCAGTTCCAGCAGTGCTCCCAATTTCATTCAGTTTGTATGTCCAGGTTGTAAATATGATTTCATGCTACCAGAATCCTGGCTCTCCTGTGGTCCCTGCACTCAATTCATTGGTGCTTATCTGTTGCCCTTTGACCCTGGCAAAGACATCTGGCCTGCTCAGCCTATTTGTCAAGCCTGAGGTGCATAGATACTAGGTTGACAGCCACCTGGTTGGATGCTGATTGGCTGATTTTGAGCAAGGGGAGGGGCCACAGGCAGTGAGCCCAAAGCCAGGGCTTTATGGCATGAAAAATATTGACATTCCGCCACCCAAGTGGCCAAATATTGGAACAATTAGTCTCTGAGACATCATTCTACTGTTACAATAATGGCATTATGCATCATTCAGTTGAAACAGCATAAAAGCCATATTGTGTGAGTGGTCAACCATGGCACATTGCTGGTCTGAGCAGTATTGGAAATTCAAAAAAGCTTGGTATTGAAGTACAAATTTTTTAAACTCAGGCACAAAATTTTGCATATGCTGTGAGTCTTTGCACTGCTATTTAGCTTATCATTGGGGGGTAACAGTACGATGGATGGTCCTCAATAGAATGGCCATGTTTCACACACAGCAATTCATGTAAAAGCAATTGAAATAAAAGAAAACATCAGTATGAAACATGACACAAATGACACAGTCTTAACCTATACAGCATGGAACAGCCGGCCAATTGAGACAGGCAGCACTGAACCGATTTACTGAGATGACACAAATACAGTGCCAGACAGACACAATGCGGGTTAAAAGGAACAACAGTTATTCACTGCTGTCTCTGGTGGATGATACAGGTATGGATGGATTTTTGTGCACTTAAACTGACAGCAGTGCAAAGTATGATATGTACTGCAATTCATTGGTGTGTGTATTCCTATTTCCTTATTCACATTGCCATGAGACCATGGTGGAAATACATATGTAAATTCATTGGTGTGCTTATTGTTATTTCCCTATTCACATTGCCATGTGACCATGGTGGAGAGCAAGTAGGTGTTGCTCTGTTGTAGGTGATTGGTTGTGCAGTTCATTGTCACCATCCATTGCACCCTTTGCAGTAAGTGTGGTTTGTTGTCGATGATAACCTAAATCACATTCAGTTATGAGTGGGTCTGCATAGGGCATAGGAAGCAAGAGCTTTCTTAGTTTACAGACAGGTGTGATTCTGCTTTTTGTTTAACTCCCCAGCGTTGCTCAAAGGCGATTCCAGTCAACATACATACACTTTGGTTTCCACATTTCCGTGCGTAATCTGTTGGATGACTAGGTCATGACACAGACTTCTAGCTGTTGGGCATCCAAGTCAGGTGGATGCAGGGTTGTGCCCTTGCAGATGCCAATACATGGCTTGTGGTGGAAGCAGCAAGTCCCAAGCTGTGGGACCTTCTTGTTCCATTTTGTCCCAGAATAGAGGAAAATTAGTCCTTCCAAAAGCTGTTTTTTGCTCTTGTGGTGCTATACAAGGTATTTCATTCTACCCAGTCACAATCCTAGAGTACAAAATCTGGTATGCATTATATTAGGAAACATATATATTTCCAGCACTTAGTCTGATACCTGAGGCTAGTCTCCAAGCAGGTACATGACCTCCATCTGTCTTCTATCTGCTGCCATACCAGTAGCATACTTACCTGAACTGCCCTTAGCAATATAGGGATCATCAAAGATATGGTCAAACTGGACAAGTCCGCTGGTTGACCCAGTGCCTAACCATTCTTCCATTCCATTCCCATCTTTTGAGCATTTTTGGTTGCCTTGTGTTTCAGTGCATAAGCATGCGTTACGTGGCTGCATACCTGTTGGGCGCCCAGAGCGGCAAGAACCCAAGCAAGGAGGACATCAAAAAGATCCTGGGCTCGGTTGGCATCGAGTGCGACGACAAGCGCGCCGAGCAGGTGGTGAGCCAGATGGCTGGCAAGAAGGCCGATGACGTCATCGCCAGCGGTAAGGAGCCCGCTCCTTGCCCCATCCTATAGTTGAAGTGGTCGGAGGGGGGGGGGGGGGGGGATTGTGACGTGAGTTTGTCATGTGGGTTATGGTGCTACTTGTGGCACGTTTTGAGCACTGACAGTGATTGCTTTGAAGTGGTGTACGAATTAGCTGCTCTCAGGTCCGACATGACTACGCAAAGCGTCGCCTGTAATCGCCTCAGAAGTACCCCATGGTCGGCTGTGTCTTTGTGCCGCGGCCACCGAGCTGTCGCGCCTCGTGCTGACCTGACCGCTGTTCTTGCTAGGCCTCACCAAGTTGGCGTCGGTGCCGGCCGGCGGCGCGGCCGCCGCTGCCGCCCCGGCCGCCGCCGCCGCCCCGGCCGCCGCCAAGGAGGAGAAGAAGCCCGAGCCCGAACCGGAGTCGGAGGACGACGACATGGGCTTCGGTCTGTTCGACTAGTGTCCTGCTAATACACAACTGACCGCTCAAGGAGCTAAAGTGTTTTCCTTGCTAGTGGCACGAAACTGGCGGGCATGCCTGATAACTTTCTTACGTACAGTGAGCATCATTGTGAAACCTTTTAATGCAAGGTGGGTGTGAATTGAGCGCAGCCTGTTGAACATTGTGTCAAAGGCTAGCAGTGGTCATGTTCCAATTAATATGCGTGCCGCAAGTCTTCAGGAGGGGCAGGCTTCGGGTGGGTATTTGCTGTCCAAGCGATTTTGCAGTGAAATGGTTCGGACAATGTGGCCGTGGGCGGGTGCGGCGTCAAGCCAACCAAACATTGATGGCATGAGGAAGTTCCGCGGTTAAAAAGAGAGCTAAGTAGTGCACTTTTTTGTACGCTTGCATAGGTCTTTGAACGCCTATGTAACGAAGTGGATCCGTGATAGGGTCAGCTAGAAAGTGAGTTCATGAGCGGTGGTGTGGCGAGAAAGTCGACTCGTGAGCGGTGATGTAGCGAGAAAGACGATTCATGAACCGTGTTTTAGCTAGAAGTACACTCGTGTGCGGTGATATAGCTTAAAAGTGGACAGACTATAATGATATCTTCTATTTTATGAAGGGCATTCCCAAGATCTTTCATTTCCTACCTTCTCAGGGCCTTTTATTTCCGACCTTCCCAAAACCTTTTATTTCTCACCTTCCCAATGCCTTTCATTTCCGACTCTCCCAAGACCTTCCATTTCCGACCTTCCCGTGACCTTTCATTTCCGCCCTTTCCACAGCCTTTCGTTTCCGAGTTTCTTGCACTGAGACCTATTGACAGTGAAACTTGGGAGGGAAGGGCACAAACACACTGAAGGCGGCCTGTGTGCGGGCTGGGCCCTACCGGAGGCCCCCAGAAGCGTAAGTCCGGCCGTGCTATCATTCGCTGTCCTTCATTCCATTCCTCTAAAGTGGCCGCCCCTGGCCGGGAGAGCTCTCAGGCCGGGCCCACCAGCGGGAGCCGCCGCTCCCCAGATATATCCGGAGGCACGTTGAGCGGCACCGACCTCTGGCGGTCACCGCCACCTGGCGGCGGGTTCTGAACTAGCGTTAAGTGCGCCAGCCACTGGAAACACTAATTTATGCAAGCGAAGTGTCGCCGCCATACAGCAATGCAGCACGCATCGAGCATGCGTCATCGCGTGAAATGGGTGACGCTGACGCCATGTGCTGGTGACTGGAGGCTTCCCTGCCTTGTTCTTGTCTTCTGTGGGACACCTCCGTTGTTCGGTTTGTTCCTCGCCGGCTGTTACGCTGCTTTCGCCTTCTGAACATGATCTGACTGATTCTACCCCCACTTGCTTCAGATATGCGGTGGGTGCGTGCAACCGTCGGCCTGGCGAAGGCGTTGGATCAGAACCTCAATCGCTCAGAGCCTTTATTGGGTTCACACTACAAGGATTCGCACTCGGTGCTCAGCCATGGCAATTCTTGAAAGCATTAGAAACAGTCGTGCTCTGCTGAAAGAGAAGCCATTAAGGATCAGAAGGGATAGGGACAGATGGCGAAGCGCCGTTTCATCCTTGACTGGTCTCAGGTCCAAAGAAGGCACCGCTGCCGGTGTGGGCGTCGACCCTAAACAAGCGGCTGCAGCGTCCGCCCGCGCCCACGCATGGTCTGCCCCGGTCGAAACGCCGGCAAAGAGGGCAGTTGTGCCAGATAATTACCGGACTCTGGCAGCGCTAGCTTGCTCATCTCGTACCCGCATTGCGCTATAGGAGTTGTGCCTCATACCCTAGAACAGCAGGAAATCGACACAGGTATTCAGAGCGCACAATAAATATCTAGGTGTGGCTCCAAAGAACGTGGGAGTTCCCGGCACGCGCAACTAGCGACTATTGATCCGAGCTGTTCGTCGATGGCTTCAGACGAAATGTTCCATGTGCTATCGCTGGGGCACGTCAGAGCATTTCGTACACCGCCGAACAGTACTTAAGAGGGGTTTCGTATAACCACTAGGCATGTTTTGCTGCATCTATACATGCTCCACCTAGACGTCGAGAAAAAGCGCGTGACAGGGAGGGCTGGCATTGCGGCCTCCAAGCCGAGCGCACTGAAAAGACACTTATTTCATTCATCACGATGCGAAGCGTTCAATCATTTGGATTGAGCGTGCAGCAAGGATTCCAACACACTATGTTCGGAATGCATGTCACCGCTGCCGCTGCCACTAATTTACAAGGTCTGCGCGATGATCACTGCTGCGGCTTGCAGTATATAATGCACATTGCTTTACCATCCACGAGCACCGCACTGGATATTATCGACCAGGAATAGCCCGTTGCACATCGTTCAGCGACTCTTGCTGAAAACGTAGCGCCGCTGACAAGAACGTGTTCACAAAATGCGAGTTAATATTACCCACACGGCAGCAACTGCAGCCTTGTCAACCGTCTCTCGGGAAGCCGGGAATTCTGGCAACAGTTGTCGAATCAAATCAAAATTCACCAGGCCTCTTACTGGTTACACGATAATTCATTTCACCCGCGTGTAAGCAACGCTGACGTAGAGCCTGCTGCCGTTCAGCGTCAGTAGCGTGCCTGTCCCGTCATCACCATGAGCTCGCGCGGCTCTGAGTCACACGGGCGGCCGAGCCGGAGCTCCGGCCTGCAGCAGGGCACCTTCTCAAGGCAGCTGCTCGGACGCCACACGGGGCTGAAAGAAGGTCGGCGCCGGAATGCGCGTTTTGGCCGCACCCTGGCTCTCCTTGCGGGGCGTGACGCGAGGCGACAGTGGCGCCATCTCGGCCTCGGCGGCAGCCGGCTCCAGGTGCGGCCGGTACTGGCGCAGCAGCTCCTCCATCCGCTGCAGCACCTTGTCGTCGTCGTCCAGATCTGGCGCGTCCATCAGCCGGTCCAGGATGCCGCCCTGGCGCGGCCGCCCCATCGTTGCTGGCTGCTGGGAGGCGCGCCGCCGAGGACCTGGCGAGGCCGACGTGGCGCGGCCGGGCCCTCCGCCTCCGGCGCCCGGCCGGCGGAAGGTGTCGGCCGACAGAGCGGGCCGCTCGCGTGCGCGCTGGCCACCGCTCCAGGTGTGCTGGCCGCTGCGGGAAGCGCGTCCCTGGCTGGATCGGCTGACGCGCATAGAGCTGCGGCCGCTGTCTACCGACAGGCGGCGGCCCGGCGTCTCCTCGGGCGGCGCCAGCAGGCCGCCGCCGCTCGGGGAGGTGACGCCGCCGCCCGCCTTGGCCGGCCGCAGGTTCTTAAGGCCGCGGAGGGCCGAGGCGATTAGCGGGTGCCGAGTCTTGGCCGCCTTGCCGCTTGGTGGCGTGGCGCCGGCCGACCGGCCCGTGGGAGTGGTAGGCGAGCGGAGAGGCGCCACACGCTCCACATAGTCGCTGGCGGAGGGGCTCCAGCCGGGCGGACCTGCCGGAGGTGCGGAGGTTCGGCTCAGGTATCACCGTGTACCGCCCAGGTACCGCCACGTGCCGCTCAGGTCCTGCTGCCTACCACTCAGGTTCCGCCTGGTGTCCGAACGGCGGCGCTGGGTTTTGAACACAGTTCTGTCCTCCACGGGCGAAAAGCCCCACTTACGCTGCTCCGAAACACGACGTATAACTTCCTGTCCTTGAAAGACGGAACCATGATAAATAAATCCGTGTTGGACGTCAGGCAAAGAAGGGAAAGAAAAGAAAAAGGGCCTGATAGATGATGAACATATTTTTCCGTATTTCATCCCATTTTCCCGTCTTTCATCCCATCGAAGCAAATCATGAAGTGACCGAAACGTGAAATGACTAAAAGCATGCTGATGACGCAAAATATATCTTAAGTGAAAATTCACGGCTATTGAGATAACACTGACGGCAAACCAGGGATTTACGCTTCTGCCTGTTCGTCCCATGGTTTTCGTGTGTTTCAGATGTGGTACCAAATTAGGTCCCTGTCTTATAACGTTAGCTGAAGAAGGGCCACCGTGACCGCACTCAGAAGGGGCCCCGCTCGACAGTGAGACAGATGTGGCGAGCTCTGCGCCAACCCAGCACCCTCACCAGCAGTAGAACTACCGTGGAAGCACTAGGAAGGAGCCCCGCTCGACAGTGAGACAGATGTGACGAGCTCTGCGCCAACCCAAGCACCCTCACCAACAGTAGAACTACCGTGGAAGCACTAGGAAGGTCAAGGAAGGTCGTCACATCTGTCTCACTGCCCCGCTCGACAGTGAGACAGATGTGGCGAGCCCTGCGCCAACCCAAGCACCCTCAACAGAAGTAGAACTACCGTGGACGCACTCGGAATGAGCCCCGCTGGACAGTGAGACAGATGTGACGAGCTCTGCGTCAACCCAAGCACCCTCACCAGCAGTAGAACTACCGTGGACGCACTCGGAAGGAGTCCCGCTCGACAGTGAGACAGATGTGACGAGCTCTGCGTCAACCCAAGCACCCTCACCAGCAGTAGAACTACCGTGGACGCACTCGGAATGAGCCCCGCTCAACAGTGAGACATGTGAGGGGCTCTGCGCCAACCCAAGCACCCTCACCAGCAGTAGAACTACCGTGGAAGCACTAGGAAGGAGCCCCGCTCGACAGTGAGACAGATGTGACGAGCTCTGCGCCAACCCAAGCACCCTCACCAGCAGTAGACATAACACGTCATGTAATAATGGAGCAGCCTGCGTTTCACTATTAAGTCTGTTTGCCGATGGTCTTACGTCTATAGTAGCTCCCGCGGCACGTATTTCTTACCCCCTGTCAAATTTATGGCTATGCATGTAGCAATATGTACGCTGATAGGTGCTGGCAGTTAAGAATGCAGTTAGCACATAAAATCTTAGCGTAAGCTCTAACCCCCGAAATTTATCCAGTCAAAGCGTTCTAAATATTAAAAAGTTAGATCGGGAGCAAGGCATGCTTCTGTACAACGCACGGGAAATAAAGACTATGAAGTCAGTTTTCATGGATTTTTTAAAGTTGTGCTCCCCTTCCCGCATTGCGAAATCCTGTGCACACCCCTGTCCAGACCTGTTGCTGAGACAGCGCGTTTGTTCTCCGCACATTCAGCACATACACGGCGCATATCATCCGGGACCGCAGGCGGGCAAAAAGCCAACGCCAGAGGTCCACACCACCCACAGATGTGCCCCGTCTAGCCAGCTGGGCCCCGGGCTCGTGTGGCCCGCACCTGTCGGCGTGTCGCCGGGCGAGCGCGGGTCGTCGTCGGAGGGCTCGTAGCCAGACTCGGCCGAGCCGTCGTCGTGCGGCCGGCCCTCGGACTGCAGCAGCGAGGGACGCTTGGCGGACGGCGAGCGGTTCCGTGCGGGCTGGCGGGCCGGCGAGCCGCCGTCGGCGTCACCGCTCCTGGCGGCGGGCACACACCGTCAGCCGACCGAGCGCACTGTCGACGCTCCTGCGCTGTGCAAGTAACGCCGTGTTTTTTGTATGGCTGCGGCGACAGACCTGAAGCCTGTGCTGTGTTTCTCAGCCCGTGGTCTTCAGAGATGGCCGATCCTGTGCGTTATGTAATTAGTGCGTACAGCTTGTAAATAGATGACATGGTAGGTTGATGAAGTAATAAGTCACAAACAGTATCACCGTATAAAACATGAGCATAAGATGTATGAACGGTGCATGCTGATGCCAAGAGCCTGGTATTTCTAGCATCTGGTACGTTACTCGGCCACCCCTCTCCGTTCGTGCAAGGCTGTCGCAATGCAGCCGTGTACGTGCATGCGCTCAGTCTCCTTTCACCCACCGTTCGTATGTGACCCCGGACAACTGGCGGTCGCCCTCCCCCGGGCTCGACTTCATGAACAGCTTCGATGACACTGTCGCGCGATGACCTGAGGAAGAGTACCACTGTGTTCACCAGGAGTCCAAGCAGGCAGACCAAAAGTGAGTGAGTTCGTCACAAGGAGTACTAGGGATGCTCATTGGAATGCATTGAGGACCGTCCAACTCGGTATGCTGGTCAGGCCCGGGAAGAGACTCCAAGATCCAGTCTTTGTGTCCGGGATTCCAGACCCGTCTGGGCTCAGGAGCCACGCCACACTTTGCCATAAGTCTGCATTGAAACTTGAATCGTTTGCATCGGCAACAAAAATTGCTACAGGATGAATCACATTTATCTAAAAAATTGAGTGGTTTTAGGATCTGGGGCTCATTTGCAAGCGTGATCAACACGTTTTAACGGGATCCACAGGTTTATAATGGTGAGGAAATCCATCCGCTACCGCGCTTTTTGTTTGGCGTAAGGACAGGAGTCTGTTAAATTTGAACTGAACACATGGCGAGTCACAATCCTGCTACGTATCGAAGATCCAAGTCAACAGACATGCGCTACACAGGGAGATGGCAATCGCAGCAAGGAGCAAGGGCAGGCGCGGGAGACCATGTCCTGGAAAGCCTCGAAATAGGTTTTGTCACAAAGGACTGAAAGTCATATAAAACACTGAAAGCCGCGTTTTTCTGGCCTGATGAAGTTATTCATAGGAACCATAAGATAGCGCAAATAAGCCAATGTCGGCTGCCTCGGTTTGCTACCTGGCTCAGAGACAGAAGACTTGCATCATTTGATGCATAACAATGCGTGTAACGTGAAAATCAGCGCAGCTGGGTGGTTATGCAGCATTAAAGGCTGCATCGTTTTAGGAAGTTGACGCTTTACATCCAAGCATATATAATATGCACATACAAATATACATAAGTTCGAGTTTTACATCTCGTACTTTCACGTCACTATTGAATGCTAAGGAAGGAGAGATGGGGCTGCGATCACCCAGGTCAGTGAAAAAACACATTTTTCCACTATGACATGGTGAGAGCCTGACTAGCACTTTGCTTTGCACTTGCTCTCGAGACTCATTGCCGGGCCCACCCTTGTTATAACCAACATTTTATTCGACCCAGTCAGGAACCTCGTTTTAGAGGCCGGGTTCCGTGTTTGCAGTTTACAAGCTGCAACATATTGAACAGATTATTACCTGATTTAGGATGAACTTCAAAAATCCTATAAAACACATGCCTTAACCCACAAAGGTCTTTCAAGATCCTCTGGGATCCGTCATTCGCCAGGAGACTTTAGTACATACGCGTCCCGGATAAATGATCTTTTTACGGTCCAGGAGTGTTTCCTATATTTTAGCATACCGTCTTCAGCGATTCGAAGCATCTGAATTGCATTTCAGACACTTTGAGACACACCATCTCATATGTTTAAAAGTCTTGCAAGGTCTTGGATCTACGTTGACACCCATACAATATTTGAATTCATAGTTCGATATGGGATTAACGTTCATGGCTCCAGACATGTGCTGGCTGCTCGCCGACCGTGCGGGTCCAAGCAATGCCAGAGTACCATGCGGTCGACCCTCCCGGGACGCGCGCACGGACGCGGAGCGTTTGCGCCTGCGTGCGGCGACGGCTCTTGAGTGGACCTGTGAGCTTCGCTCGTGCCGCCTACACGCGTGTCTTTGTCCTGCGTGGTGTCAACTGTAACCGGAAGCCACTCACCGGCCTTACACCTGCACGGGTCGTGCTTGTCCAGGTAATGCTGCAGCGTGTCCCAGCCGCCCCCGACGCGAACCATCACATGGTTCCGCAGGATCTGAGGCGGAACAGCGTAAGGTCAACAACACTCGGTGCTCACGTCCAGCACAAAGGCACATTTGCATCAAGGCATGCACAGCTACAGCGCTGCCGCTTGAATCGGGGGGTAACTGCAGAGCCATCGCACGCCAAGCACCGTTATGCGCAGCTGTTGCACGTGGGGGAAAACGCGGCAGGGAAAGTGCAATACCACGCTGTCGTCGCGCGCCCGTGGTCATGAGGAGCTCATTAGGCAGCACGTCACGTCAAAACCCTCTCCAAGTCATTGCATAAGGTCGGTACAAAGGAAGGCTTGCAGGCGTGCGGAACACTGCTTGCTGCCACCAGGGCGCAGCAGAGCCGTTCCAGGCTGGCAGGTACGAGACAAAAATGAAGGCATGAAAAGGGGTGGTGCAAAACAGCGGAGAACAAGGGAACTGGCCGTGCTGGGTGAGACCAGTCCAACACGCACAACCTCCCAGAAACAATGAGCTGACATGATCATTACGAGACCCCTGAGTTGTTCTAATAATCGTTTTGGAACGCATGCATTTGTACGATACTAAACAACAGAGTTACTCATCGAGTGGATTGCGCTAGCGGCAAATCTCATTACGCCATTGTCAAGCAGTATGATGGGGATATGATAAGGCGATTGGAAAGAGCTTTCCATATATGCAGGAGGAATTTCAAAACTTGTCACGAAAATCCCAACAAAACGCGACTCCGTCTCACAGGACAACTCAAATGAAATGATAGAATGTCGAACGCAGAAGGCGGCATAAGAAAGTGCTACAGCAAGGCGAAAACACCAGAAGGCATCTTAGCGAGCCAATGCGCAGCTACGTAAAGCAATTCGCACCTTTCCCAAACCCTTTTCAACGTGGCACGTGCTCCCAGAACAGCGACAGGACCATCACAAATAGCCCTTGTATGTGGCACAGGCAGCCTCGACCTCAGCAGCGGGCTGTGGGCTCGCCAGGAGCCCGCGCTGCCGTGAACAGCCCCCCCCCCCCCCTCCCTACCTCCCTCTCGAACGTCGCTCATTAGCCGCGCGCGGTCAACCCCGATTGTACGGCATTGAGCATGTTTCGGCCCTACCCACCCGCGACGGTCAATGAGATGCACTGCACGCGCACCACAGACCAGAGGTCACGGTCAGTCCGTGGGGTTGCTGAGACGGCGAGTCGCTCAGGGCCGGCTGCGGGAGACCAGCTCCACTGCCGCGTCACCTCGCCCGCCCTGGTGTCCCGCAGGGGTCTCGGGTGGTCACGGTCAAGTCTGGGAGCGACTCCATGAAGACGTGGGGCGGGCATCATGCCGTTTGATCGTCGACCAGTTTCGACCCGGACGTGACTGGAGGGCGCGTGAGATTTCCGAGGCCTTGGCTGCAGGCTCGTGCCAACGAGCTATTCGCCGATGCGACAGAAATCAGCCACTGGTGGCCGCTGTATCGATGGGCAGATATTTTTGTCGCGATATTCATCAATGGGTAGCTGAGTCTGATGGCTTTCCGGTCTTGCATAGATCGATTACATCTGACCTGGCCAGGCGCTCACCCTCACGAAGATGAGCGTTTTGCTGTCGCCGATCCTGTACTTGCCCTCGGAGACTCGGATCATGGGAAACTGGCTGGGACACGTGCAGCGAGCCACCAGGATCACGCACCTGAAACGGGGGCCGAAGTCAAGGCGGTGCACAAAACACCCGCGCATCAGCGGGACGATCTTAAAACGGACGGGTCGCATACGTCAGAAAGGCACGCTCAGACTAGCGGCAGGTAATGACAACATCAGAGATGGTTGATCGGACCCGACGGTAGTAATTTTACGGTGACCATGTTTAATTGCACGCAACACTCATAGCGGAGCGCTGTTACCAGGCAAGTGAGACGCGGGACATCTAGATTCGTTATCTCCTGCGCTACCCGTTTGCTGTCCTCTCCCTCGCTCTTTGTATGTATAAGCATATGATGTATATGGATATATGCATGCATGTGCTTCTACATCATATCATCATATAAAGGTCATCATGCATCATTGATATCTATGCGCCCTCCTACACATATTATATACATATATAAATGCATTCATGCATTTCTGGATGGTGATCCACTTAAAACTTGACTTTATGTCCAGTGACGAAGGGCAAAATGGTCGTGAAACAGCTGCCAGTTCGCCGGAGAAGTGACGACACATTCGTGCCGTGGGCACCATTCCCAGGCTAGCAAGGGCGTCCGCTCTTCGTGATTTGCGCCACATCGGCTTATGTCGTAAACAGCCATGTCTCTGCTCACCGGAGTGCGACCTTCTACCACAAAATTCAGTATCTTGTGGAGGAGACCACTGCCCTCGTGTTATTAGCTGCTTCAATATTTCCTGCTTTCTGAATTTCATCTCCCTCCGTCCGAACCTCGCGGAAAAGAAGCCTTGCCGTGCTCGGCACCGCTCCAGCACGCCCTTCGTGGTCTGAGTTGGAGGACCGGTCCAGCCCTCTGCTCAGCCCCAGCTGGAGCCACTCCACCACGCCCTTCGTGGGCTGAGTTGGAGGACCGGTCCAGCCCTCTGCTCAGCCTCAGTTGGAGCCGCTCCAGCTCGCCCTTCATGGGCTGAGACGAAGGGCCGGTCTTGCCCTCTGCTCAGCCCCAGCTGGAGCCGGCCATGAGTCACGCCCTGTCTGTGCCGCGTGGCGCCATAAATGGGACCGCCCGGTCGCCGGCTGGCCGCGCGCGGTGAGCGTCGGCGCCTTCTCGTGCATACAGAGCGGGCCGCACGTGCCGGCCGGGGAAGGGCGGCCCGACCGCCTCGTAAGCGGTCCGAGTCGGCTCGTCCTTGACTCTGCGCCGGCCGGAGTCAGTGTGTCAAGAGCGAAGCGGCGGCAGCGGCCGGCGCGTACGTGCCCCGCCCGCGGCCACGCGCCCGCCCGCCCATACGTCATCGGCCCCCGGCTCATCGGCTGCCGTGGCCGACCGCCACCCAGGGTCTGTCGCAGCACGCACCTGCCCGCCACGATCTATCACAATCTGTCGCAATCTGTCAGTCTCACAATCTGCCACAATCGTGCAAGTAAAAATCATAAGACTGTCAAAAATCGCAAGCGCAAAGGACCATAGATGACTTTTATTCTCGCCACTAGACGTTGTGGCTCTCAGCAGCTGCCGGAGTCCACGCAGATGCACGTCAGTGACCTCAGGTTAGCATCAGTTTCCAATGGAAGCCTCGATGAACCGAAAGAACTCCTCGTTGCTGTCCGCTTGAAGAGTAGGCAGTCGCTGCTCTGTAAACCTTCCCGGGCTATGCCCTATGACGTCTTGCCAGTAGTTATAACGTCATGCCGTACGGGTGGAATGGTTCCCGAAGACCGCTCGGCCCAACCCAGATTAGGCCGAATTCAAAACTGCCCGCTCCGCCGTTTGGTCCATCCTTCCCAATTGCCAACAGGCGCCGTGAATCATAACGAAGGTCCGTTTTGCTCTTTTCACGCTGCACGCGTGAACGCGGCAGCTGCCTTTGTGAGCGCGCCTGCGTCCTGCGCCTTTGTGTGGTTGGGCTCGAGGCGTTGCCCTCCAGGGAGCTCGGAACGGCTGCTTCCGGCCACCTCATCACGTATCGAAGCCGCCAAAAAGGTGGCGCCGTCTGCACCTGCTCAGGCCTGACCGGATGTGAGTGCGCCACCACCGACCAGCCGGCCGACCCGGCCCGCCGGCACCGACAGCTCCGGGAAACTATAACGCGGCTGTCACCGTGCGGCGGTCAACGGGCCCATGGCTCCCCCTGCGGCGCTGGCGGTCGTGTGGCGGCACCACGGTCACTGAGCCGCACGGGGTGGGTCACGGTCGGCCAGCCACCGGCCTCTGCCCCGGTCCGGGCTGGGCGATTATGCACAGTTTTCGGGGCTCTCCCGGTCGCCGCGTTAGATCACTTGCGGCCGACGGGGGTGGAACACCCAAGGAGGCGGGGCCACAACTACACTTGCCATCGTGTCAGAACTTTTGCTGGATAGCTTTCTTTGTGGGCATTTTGTTCTGAGTTGTCTACAAGAATGTCAGCGTGTTTCAGGTTCGTAGAGCTTTCACTTTCTCGATCCGATTCAGGGGAGCTATCGACGAAGAAACCATTCGCCACGTGCCGGGGTTCTCATGTGCTCCCCGCGTCCAGGAAAGACTGACAGGTTATTCCAGTTCCACACGAATGTCAGGAATCATCTGAACCTGGTCCAGGCATTGCTGATTACGGTTATAAGTGTCCCAACATCTAGGTGGTGAGTGAGCCAACATGAACACTATCATCTACCATCACTGGCACTAAGCCCTGGTGACTCAACTATCTCTTACTGAGCCGCATCGCGATCGGCGCGGTCATGATGGTGTTGCCCCGGCCACCAAATACGGGGTATTGAATCACACCCCACAGGGCACACCGACGAAGCCAAATATGGCGGTATGAACCCCAGCGCTGCGGGAGACGGCACGACTGACCGCAGTGTCGACTGGGGCGCCTGCCCTCCGCTCTTGCGAACCGGCTCGGCCCAGCCAAGACGGCACATGCACGGGATCTGAGCACGTGCGAGGTCAGCCATTGTCAGGTCGTGGCGAGGCCTTGGAGTCGCGCAGGGGCGGCCGACGGCAACTCGACCGAGTCAACCCTCAAAAGCCCGCCCTACAGCGAGTGAATGGTGAATCTTCTCCACTGACCGTGCATACTGAGCGCCATGACGAATCATCAGAACTGAAGCTGACGCTGCCTCTTCCGGGGCAAGCGAAGGCATCACAAAGAGCTCCGCGCCAGTAAGGCTCCGTGTCCGGTGCGTGAGCGGCTTGTTATAGCCGGCTCGCGCAGCGGCACACCTCTGCACTAACGGAGATCCTCCACTCGGCCGACTGTTTCCAATACGGCGGCCGGCGGGTCCCGCTACGGAGCGGGCCGCCGCCGAGCGGCTGTAAGTGTTCTGATTGTTCCAGTGGCTCAGCAGGAACGGTACACGACACGCGCCCGGCCGGGCCGGCGCGAGCGGGGCGTAACCGCTGCAAGGCCATCGCGCGTCTCCGGACGACGAAAGGGGCCATTGTCCGGCGCCGGTGGACTGGCGCGGTCGCCTGGTGCCGAGCGGTGTCCGAGGGGTGCTCCGACTCGCCGACGCCTCGACAGTAATCAGAGAA